AAAAAAAGCCTGGCAACTACTGAGAAACTCTTCTAAAGGTTTCGAAATTGCGTTTATTATGAAACCAAATTGATAGAATTGGCTCCTTTTTCCTTTGAATGATCAAGTGAATGACATTTTATGAGGTAACCATAGTTATGATTCGTCGTATATATTATAACTTTGTGAATAATTCATTGCAAAGGATAATAAATTAAGAACGGAAGAGCAGTGGCATAATTTACATTTTAGCTGAAATATTAAGTTAATCAGATGACGATATTTAACTAAAAAATGTTAATTCGAATAAAACTCTTGTACCTCAATTAACAAACGAAGCCATTCACTTGAAGCATAAAAATATTTCTCCTCATGGCTCCAAATTTTGGCATATTTTGCCACAATGAAAGTGATAAATAAGGCATTTATTTTCCTGGTGAAAATTTTTTCCTTAAAAGTGTTAAAAAAAAGCTTCAAAAGTATTCTCGTTTAAAAAATGTTCGTGAGGACGAACTGAATGATTCGACGCGAATACACGAGTGAATTACGAATGTGGACTTTTAAATACTCTGTACATCTTTTAAACAATTATATTCTCCTAGAGAATAGGTCCTTTTGTTCGTTGATATGATCCTTTGTTAAGTGTCCGAAGACTTAGGCATAACGCTACGCAATGTTACGTGGGTAAAAGTGTTGCGTGATAACCAAGGGACACTTGCTAGGCACACATACAACCTTTACAAGCATTTACCCATGTCTTCAAGGTAACTACAGAAATAATTTTGCAACGAACTCAATTTTTTTTTTCCATTCTTCTGTCACCAAGAGCATAAATTCTGCGCCACAGTTGGTAGTATCTATGGCAATGGCACTCCACGTTCCTTTAGTACTTAGGTAGACACGAGGTTTGCTATACTTTGGTTTCCGGGCCCTCTGATCCGTATTGGAAAGTGTTCCGTACTTTGGCCACTAACGAAGCTAAAAATGGTCCGATGGCTTTGCTGTAGTACTCTGGAGTTCTACCCCTGAATAAGAATAAGTAATTAAAATTTTGACTTCGTGAATTTATGTTCTGGCCCACACACATTTGAGGGAGAAGAAAAGCCTTTGCAAAGAAAAGATTACGAGCAGCGAATATTTTATCCATTGAGATCTAAGGAGTATTAAGTAAAAATTAAGGTGGAGAACATTCTAATCTAATTATAAGATTATAATAAGAATAACTTTCATCCTCTTCCAACGTGGGTTTTAGCATGTTGGAGGAAAGGAAGTGGATGATAAGAATCCATCCGAAAAATAAGAAGATTAAAGAGATATCCCAAGATGTTTCCTTCACCGATTCGAACTCGTTGGAAACGCGTGAATTTGTCAATTTAACGTCAGGAAGGCTGTGTCTAACTTATTCGTCGGAGTGTAATTAACAAAAGACGCCGCCCAGGTAGTCAGCCAGATTCTATGGGTGAATTTTATTCAATGATTTACGAGTTGATAAAGATTTCTGCGACTTTTTGTTCGAACTCAGTAGGGCATAAGAATACAGGAAACTTGCCCAAGGTCACTTTACAACGGACAATGGCACCATTGTACGATATATTAACATTTCAGCAGCTCATTTCTAAGTCGAACCAACGAATACGAGAAAGTTGGAGGTAGGATCTTACGAATAGTTTAAAATGTATGTGTTCCTTTTTACATTTTGTAAAAGAGTATTGTTCTAAAGGGCGAAAGTAGGAGGTTTAGGTATAAATCATAATTCCCAATCTACAATTGCCAGCCTATTTTGTCTGCCAAGAGGGTATATTTCCCTAATTTTGTAATTCCAAGTCCCGGTGACCCAAATTTTAATTTCCCAGTACAAAAACGGGCAAGTCTGAGACCTCATTTCCCCTTCCCAGGTCCCTTGCAGAACTGAGATAGTCCTCACCTCTGGTCTACTCGGCTTATGTAAGTTAGTCGTGATTTGCCATTCTCTAGAGGCTCCACTAGATATCTTGACGCCAATACAATTGAAGGTACTCCATTGCTAGGAGGGGCCCGTGGATGATTGATAGATGTGGAGACCAGTGCACAAACTCCCTTATCGAGGTCCGTCCATGCCCTTGGATAAAAGAAAAAAAAGGAGAGTACACTTCAATGTAGTTCGAAGAGATGCAACATGAGATAAGCTTTAGCTGTACTTGCTAAACTAAAAGTTGCCTTTGTCAATTGTACAAGAACCTTGTTATCCTGCTTCTTCCTCAAAGAGATAGAGAAAGAAATGCTATTTTGAATGAATACAAGTGTTTCGACAAGTAAAGCTTCAGTGCGAGATAAGATCGATAGTTTCTTATAGAGACGTAAAAACATGTTAAGGTTACGCAAGAGCCCTCCGGGTTTTACGTTATTGTGCTGATTCTTTGTAGCTCTATTTCATATATAGAAACGGCTCAAAAGGTGACATGTCAATCGACCAATATTTGTTTATTCTTCTCAGTCAAACTTCAAATTTAGTGGGAGATTACAAAAGAGCCGGGTACTGAGGAGTAAATTAAAACAGCTTGATGTCATTTGCATGAGAAAACGTTTCTCAGCACATGCACGTACTTGTTCATTGTCAGTAGGTTCTAGATTATCAGCTGGATTATAAAAAAGGTTTCAATAAGCCATTTACCTTAGCACTACGTGTTGTCGTTTTGGTTGAAGGATCATAGACTTGGTGGTGTAAAAGAACACATCTGTGTGATCGTCAATTTTCTCCACCATATCCCAAGTTTCCAAGTCTTCGTCCCAGAGATGCCTTGAAAGAAGAGAAGCCACCATCGGTTAGAGAGCAAAAAGGGACTTCTTACTTTCAATTAAGAAGGCTGGTTGAATTGCACAGTGTTGACAAAGCGGGGAGAGGATGATAAAACATAAAAAAAACTAAAGATGCCTTGTGGAAAAAAGATTACTTAGATCACTCTCAAGCTCATGGGTATCTTTGTGCGGTCAAAGCCCGTATCGCACTGGTCTAGCAATCAAATATTTAGAAGTTAATTTAAATAAATTGCAAATTTACGCATTATCAGATCATCTTGCACTGTAACCTCCAACATCCGTAGTTCGTTGTTGTACACAAGTACCTTACACTATCATGAAAATTCCCAAACTTTTAAGGTGCACAAAACTGCAAACCGTTAGAGCTATATGGCAAAATAACTGAAAATTAAGCTTTTCCAGTTAGGGCACCATGGCGCGTTGCAGCAATGAATCAAACAGCAAGTCTTTCTTTATACCTTTCGTAGAGAATTCTTCTTATGATATCCTCTGGCTTGGCATTGACTTCCACAACACATCTCCACAATCGGAGAGGGTAGCCATCTTTCACTTTCTTGTAAGAGATCTCTACTGAGCTGTCGTACCACGGGTGAGACACCCACCCCTTAAATTTGTCTTTTGCTTCCTGAAAGTGGAAAAGACGAGACTGATTAATAAGCGGATGATTTTTCTCCAACACAACTTTTTTCTAACAACTATGAAAACGTTTAAATTATTGTGAAGAAGTTGCATCATTCCACAAATTTTAAGCCAAGGCTAGCAAGATGAAAATTACCCAATTAGCACTCGATAAAATTGAATAAGCCAATCAAAAGTAATCTTGGACACGCGCAGCAGTAAAGGGCGGGAAAGGTGAATATCTACTGGTGGGATTTAAATTGCACTCCATAGGCCCTTAACACATACATTAAAAGAAATGTGTTTACCTTGAGTAATCCAGCGATACAAGATTCGATGTACGTCTGATAATCACTTTCAGGACTGGATTTACTCTTTCCAAGTTTTTCTAGAGAAACAGGTTCGCCTTGCTCGATATACGAAAACCGACTGTTCTTCACCGTGTCTTCTGGAATCTGTGACACAAATAACGATAACATCAAGTTTTCGTTAGGTAAGTCATTTAAGTTTTTTAATAAAAGAAAGTAATGTTGTCAAGAATTGCTCTCAAGGATTTGAAAATTACTCTAACGGGAATGGAACTTACCGAGAAGAGCTTATCCACTTCTGTAATCATCTTAGCTAAACACTCATGGGCGGCCTGTAATGGTGAGATTTAGCAGCAACATGTTAATTTTATATCATCTTTTCGCGGAAAATCAGAAGAGCAAATCGCTAAAGTTAGGATTTGGGTTCAACTAGATGCGCTGTTTATATTTTTCTAACCTCATATGCTCGACTTAGCTCTAATCGAGTCCCAAAATTTTCCCAACAAAGACGTCTCGAGAATTGCATTCGAACTAAGTAAGTGAACTAAGTTGGGAAATTGTTTACACCTATTTTCACTAGTGGCCTTAATGAAGTTACGTTGTTAACGAGCAAGAGAGGAGCGCTTACCAGATTATCAGTGAGTTCCTTTGAAGCCTTGTTCATAGGTGTTCGCTTCTGTCGCTTTGGAGAAGACGGATCTTCCTTTGTACCGCACAAGTGGAACAGAGAAGGAGCAAAGCATACTCCAAGATTCTTCTCATTCATCTAAAAGGGAAATAATCTATTTTTTTAGACACTACTCGATCCAACCAACTATTTAGTGCTGAGGAGCGACGAACATCTGAATTTAGTATCAAAGACAATTAATATTTCTTTGAGAATTGGATATAGTAGCATTGAGTCACAAAAATGATTGATGATCTGATAAAGATCGCATCAATGTATGTAGCATAATATGCCTGATAAGTGGTAATTTTATCTTCACTTTGTGATTGGTTCTCTCAAACAAAGATTACACATCAATTCTTGTCATAAATCTTACTTGATTTGTTTCAGAATTGGCAGCCACCTCATTTAAGAACAACAATAATGTCTGGAGTGCTTCTCTGTTTGGGTCAGGCATGAGGAGAATGGCAGCCTGCATTGCTTCCATTCTTGATTCAGGGGGAATGCCTTTAAAGGGGGGGAAAAATGGACAAGATTAATGCATCTGACTTAAGTGTGCATGAATTCTCCTTTCACAAATATTACCTCTCATTTGATATTGCATGTAATCACTTCAACTGATATGGAACTTAACAATCCAACATAATTAATTTACTTGAAAACTCTGTTTTACACATGAAATCTCATTTAACATCATGAATTTCTCATTTGGGAATTTCTTGTTTATCTAACTGTTTGTTGAAGTACAGCATTTTTCATATGAAATACCATTTGATATCAGTGCTTATCATAAACTAGTCAAAACATTTTTATGGTCATCAATCATCTACTTACTTGAGAAAATTGTTATGAATGTTTCAGCCAGTTTAGATGTCAAGATGGGTTCTGGAAGTTCTCTAAAATACTGCTTCAACATGTCTGCCATGTCATATGGTGACAAGCCCTCAAAGTCAGTATTATCTGTATCAGAACAACAACAAATGATTATGTTATCATTCATTGTAAGTTATAATTGGGTAAGCTACAGGTCCTCTACATTTTTCACCCTGTGCATGAGAAAGAAATGTCTTGTTGCCTGATCAGCGATTCAAGCTATCAGTCCCCATGTTAAGTGAATCAGGGCTTGCTCACTTCTAATGAGTTATTGCATAAATATGGGAAAAAAACTGCACTGTTACTCATGCAAGTGTACATTATTCACATGACTATCCTAAAATAATGTACTCCTTTTCATAAGAAGAAAAAAATCTACTCTTGTAGCTTAGTTATACCTGGATCTCCTTCAATCATTTCCTTCAGGTGATTTATTCTCTGTTTACCACCTGATTTTCTGAATATGCCAACAGCATCCACAGCTGTGAAAAGGAATTAAATGTCAAAATGTTATGTCAAACACAAATTCTATGTTAAATTATCAAACTAATGACTTTTAAATTTCTCTTAAGGCCAGAAAGTAGTTGTTCTGTCCTGATTTGACAATTACTTTTGCTAATCCCTTAAAGGCTTGTGCAAGTAACCACAAGATCTTACACAGGTTCCACATGTAAAGGTTATGACATGCTGCAGTCCACATATAAAGGCAAAACTTGGAAATAGAATGTAACACAAGTCTTAGATTTCTTACCTGATCTTTGTAGATAGTTGATTGCAAAGAGAATAGATTGTGGAAGAGGTTGACCGGAGCGCTGAAGTACAACTGAGAGGGGAACGCCAAACACATTCCTGTCTGAAAAAGTCAAAAGAGGGAATAGTTGAGGTTGTAAATTTATTGAGTTAACTGGTTCCTATTTTGAGGCACATAAGGCCTTTCGCATGTAATACATCACCAGTTATTTAACTGTTGTCTCACATACTATGAAATACAAAACTTTCAGCAGCAGTAAATTACCCAATGGGTAATTTAGGATGGTCTGTTAGCAATTTGAATTGGATATGTATTCTGGGTAAAACACTATATGACAAGTACCTCTATAATCTGGTGACTTGAGCTTCTTTAAGAAATGGGGAAATGACCTGAAAGAGGAGAAAAATCACCAAAAAATAAACAAATTATCTCTCTCCATCAAGTAGATGTCCAATGAAATTTATGAGGATTGAAGGATGCTAGTAGCATTTTTCCATTCAACTTGTCTAAAAAGCTTCCTTACCAATTCCACATTCCTCTGTGTGAGTGAGTATGTCTTTCCATTAGTGCTGTTAGTTTCAAAAGTGAGTATTTTCTAAGAACGGCTAGCTGTCCTGCTGTAAGGTCACAGATCTTTGGAGACCTACATTTGTGATAAGAAAGGCAAAAATAATTAAATAAGTCATTACCAAGACAAACAATAGAAGTGATGAAGCTACCTAACAGTCTTGACAACTTTCATATCTTTTATGTCATGGTAATAATAATAATAATGGAAATTTAGCAATGGAAACTTCAGGAAGTGGCTCTTCTTTCCTGCTGTCTGGAGGACTCAAAGAAAAACCCTTGAAGCAAGGAAAAGTACAAACTAGAATCTCTACCCACATGTGATGGCACTGTGCCATCCCTTCCCTCCTGTCTATGACCAACGTTTATGGCCGGTAAATATTGCTAGCCAAAAGAACTACTGTTTCCTAGGCTCAGACTCAGTTATGTGGAGATCATTAACAGAGAAAGACATGATCTCCACAGGTCAATGCAGTAATTAAAAGAGACTTTAAGACAATTTGACAAACTATTTTTCTCATTAAAAGAGAAACATTTCAGGCACTAGTTACACCTGAAACCAGCCAATATTACATTTATAAATTCTTCTTTTATTATGTTCCATGAAGTTATGTATTAGGAACACTTACATGACACGTATTTCAGGTCTTGAAGTCTTTTCAAAGCTATGCCATCGTACTTTAGGCCTTGTTGCTGTTGACGATGGAGCCACATCATTGTTACATTTTCTCTCTGAATTTCGTATTGATTTTAACATTGTCAAATCCCCAGGCAAGTCGTCAATTTCATCATCACGTTCAAAGTCTGAAAGGTCCTCATTTGATGATGCACTGTAAGATTCAAGTCCCAAATCACTACTAGTAAGGATTCTTTTTTGAGTTCTGCCTGAGTTTCTTAGTTGATCATTCCTGTTGAGGTCTTTACCAACATTTGATATTGATGGTGTACTGGCACTTAATGTTGAAGACAGATTGTCATATACACTTTTCCTCCCTTGTGTTATACATAAATCCAAGTGTGTTATGGGTGACAAATGCTCAGGTGCAAGTTTGCCTTTCTTGTGAAATGACCTTTGCCTTGTGTTTGATACACTGTTCAAAGATGAGTTTATTCCATTATGTGAGCTACTTAAGCCAGCTGGACCCTTTCCCTTGCTGAGTGAAGGGGAACCATTTCTTCGACTTGACCATCGTCGATTCTTATTTTGTAGTTTCCAGCGTGAACTTAATGCAATCAAGTCTTCTTCATCAGAATCGTAACCTCCATCATTCTGTTAAGACAAAATTAATTTGCAGTCACCTCTGCTTTCAGGGCTTAAAAAAAATGCAGCAGAGCAGGAAAGACATGAGTAGCTATTTTCAGTACCTTGATGTGGAGGTTCATTTTTGCACATCGATTGAGTGTTTGAAGACGCCTGATGAGTTAAATAGACAATATTACTAGATTAGGTTGTGTTCTTCTAAATAAAACCCAAAGTGCACTCAAAGGGACAAGGGCAATTTTGGGAAAACTTGAAAAATACGCATGAAATTAATCCTTAATTGCCTGAGGGCACTTACAAGTACTTTTTTTTATCACATAAAGGGTTAAATTTTTTTGGGGAATCACAATCGTGCATGATGTTCCTGTGGTGAAGCCCTTTCAATGCTGTCACAAATGTCAAAACAAACGTAACTGACCGATCGATTCAAAGAACATTTTATTCTCAAAATACAGTTAACGTAGCATGGCTTCATTCATTTAAATTGCAATCAATAAATTGTTGCTGCAAACAGCAAAAGGCTCAATAAGCATCAAGTAATCATGCCCTCTTGATTACCAAGTGTTGATAAGTTTTAAAATCATTACCTGTACAAAGATTGAATAGAATCTTGATCCAGGAAGTGATGTTCTTTAATGACAGATGCTGTGTCAATGGGAAACTTTCCATCTAAATTTGCAAAGATAGACTTATGACCTACATTGGTATTGAATTTCAACAGGTGTGCCATGTACCTAGGATAAGGTGCTGTTGAAGATGATTTAGATAATGGAAAAGTAGGTCCAACAAACATGTCACTCAGGACCCAGTTGTTCATAGAGTGGATGATGCTATCCAACAGATAAATCGCTATCCAGTGAATAACTGTGAAGGAAATGTACTGCACTATCCACATAATAGCAATTTATCTAGTGGATAGCGTTATCCAACCTTGGAACAACTGGGACCAGATCCATACAATAAGGAAATAGATAGTGTGACATTAACAGACATATTCAAGAAAACCAGTTGGGTAGTGATCATTAGGAATTAAGTGAGTCAAAGTCTAAATTAGTTTGAAATTAATCTCATTCAACTTCTTTCCTTTTGTTTTCTTTCTTCTTGAGAAGGATCAACTCGTCAAAACTGTTTTGCTGTATACTAAGGGAGAAGATGCCGGCAAATTTAACATAACATGCACGATCGCAGGAGAGAATATTTTAAGTTTCTGTGGCTCCTTGTCTACACTTAAACCTCAAGCTCCTCATGTTTGGCTATGCAATTGAAAGAGGCAGTTTGCTGCTTCTTAACCAAAGATGGTAACTCATGTTGTTAAAAATGTCAACTAGAATTAAAATGTATTTGTACCTTCATAAGCCTGTGCATATTGTGGAAATCCAGCTGCTTTTAGCCAGTAACATGCCTCAAGGGCCTCTAGTTCTGAGAATGCAAAGAATTAGTTTCAAAAACAAGCACAATATACATCACAACTTGTAGTAATTTGGACTGTAAGGAAGGAAAGGGTATTGTCAAACTCCTAAATAAGTTTCCATCTAAAAAAATTATTACACTTTGCAATATTTCTAGTAAAGCCAAGGTATTAGTCACAAGAACATTTTTCTGTCAAGGGTAACACCTGTTTACATTTGGCAACGTTTTATTGCTGAGAGCATCAAATTTTCATTGTACAATGAAGCATCAAATATGTTTTTACTGCAGTGATTGTAACAGCCACTAAAATTGGGAAAAGATTGGAACATATTACCTAGAGTGGAAACACTTAAATTTAAAGAAGTCCAAAAATTGTTTTGTGGAAAATAATTGTTACTGCCATTTCATTAAATCAGATGATAATATATACAGCTGGGTACATTAATCACAGGATGAATATTTTTAGTGATCTTTGTTAGTAGGAGCACTCTGACACACAAGTATGGAAACAGGAGAAATGTTTATAAACACAGCTAAAAATTGTTTACATTATCAACACTTTAAACTACACCAGAAGGCTAAACTAGTTTTAACATGAAGGAAAACCTTCGACAAGGCCTTCAGTCATTCAATGTTAATTATTTATGAGGTATGAATCAGAAAAAAAAATTCTTAGGGAAAGTAGTGAATCTTTTACCTTTTTAAAGAATTAAAGGAACTTGAAAAATTAAGGCATGCTAGATAAACCCCTTTTGTTGAAATTGCGATAAAGATATTATTTAGGGAAGACAAGATATTGAAAGAATACAAAATATACAAACATTATTGCTCGGTTAGAGTTCGCACTAGGTGGCTTCCGGTATTGCAGAAATACATGTATAGTTCAGCAAAATTACGAGCTAGCTAACAACACTTCTGTCGTTACGTTTTGGCTAATGTAACATACAAGCTTAAAATCAACATTCAGCCAAATCTGTCAAAGTTAACGTCATCTTTTTCGTTAGAAAGTAAGATACGTCATTCAGCCGTGGCATAAGGCATTTTTCAGCTCTAACATGCGGGTTTTATTATGCTAGGAGTCAAAGGAGAGTACTTCGAGCATGGCTTTCCATCTGGTGTGTCACACAAATCTCTGGCTGATTTCCACACTTCATTGTGATCGAAAACTTAAATAGGTGGCTTGTTTTTTTTTTAATCATTTATTTCGATGAAAGAGAAGATAGCGAAGTGACCAACTAGCTTGTGTCAATAAAGAATTCAATTTGCTTCACTGTAATTTTTCTTCGTCCACATGGCCATCTCTCTTGCAGATCGTTCTTTTTACCGCCCTTGCAGTAAACGTGCCTTGCAGGAACACACCTTCAAAGACCTTTGACATGCAAACAAACACCACATCTTGTCGTCGATTAATGAGGAAATATGTAAAGTAAAATATGTACACTGCAAATCTTGATCTTGAAACCTACATGTCCTCGAAAACAATTAATACAGCATAAAACAATATAGCTAAAGCGATCGACACTTAAAGCACACAATGGAACCAGACCTGCCTTTGTCACCGGTGACCGACTGAGATACTTATTTGATTGTTAAGTTGAGTAGAACTACACATTCTAATAGCGGTCGGATTTTACAGTGAGAGATTGATTTACGAGCGAATGTTTTACTTACTCGTAATTTCACGCATGACTGGCGCGCGAAATGGACAACATTCTGTTCAAACAATCTTCGCTGCAATCCTGTAAGAATGTGACGTGAAATACCAAAACATCCCCAATGTCCCAGCCGGTAAAGGTTTGGTCGAATTTAACAAGATTTACTTAACGGAACGGTGGATTCCTTAAACAGATCTATCTCTTGTCACGTGAGAACTACTATTCAGATTTTATTCAAATCAAGTATTTGTTTTGCTTCTACCGCCACAAAGTCTGAACATAATGAATGGATGTGGTTTTGTCGCTTATATTCCCTCTGTGTATTACTTTGTCCGGCCCCGATTTACAATGCTATCGCCTCCAAAAATTGGGAGGGATTTGTTTAATCCTTATTTCTTTACGCTGAATTAGGTTTGAACGACTTTGTGCCAGCACTTAAGGCTACTGCTATTGTATCATCAGATGAAAAAAACCCAATGTCACACAATTCGTGATTGAAATGGAATGTTACTCATGCCATGATTTTGATGAACTCTAAGATGACCGGCCACTAACTGAGTACCAACTATAGGCAATCATCTTCTAATTCCCCTGTATAAAAATAATTTTGGCGTTCTATATTACACATTTTCTTCGCTACACTTATTGATAGAAAAATCAAGGCATTCGAGCAGTGAAAGAGATTTAAATAAGCAAGTACAGCTGAGCTTAACTCAACGGTTTTCTATTCCACAGATAGTCGTTCCTTAGGAAAACGAAATTTTTTAAATCGAAATCCGCGAGTCAGAAATTGAAACAATATCGGCATCAAATGCAATGAGTCAGCTTTAAACCACAACATAATTGAAAATGTAATAAAGGCAAATTTGAATTCCTTCACACCTCGGGTCAAATCATTTTATCTTAACTCGTTTGTACCTTTGATGGTGTCCCTCTTATTCTTGCGGACCAAGAATCGTCGCAGCATTTTTCGCCTGTTTTCGCCATTGGTCTGAACGCCATCTGAGAGCGCCATGGCCATGAGGAATATCAGCGACCACGGCACAGATATGGTACGAAAGCGCAATATAACCGAGGCCACCGAACAGAACTGCTCATTTCTGCCTCGAGGGAAATTTTACCGAACAGCTTGATATCAAAAGAGAGGTCACATCCAAGAGGACTAGGCCCCAGGAAATAATCCCTACACCCGATTTGATTGACGCATTGTTTATGTCAACGCCTTGACAAATAACCACCCATTGTGAGAAGAAAAACACAATTGAACTAATCACTCAGGGTGGGGAATCAAATTATACACTCTAATTCATTTCTCGATATGTTAAAATTTGGAGTGAAAAATCATCAAATATTGTTTTCATTTCGTTTAAACAGCCGTGGGTTGCATTTTCACCGCTCTAGAAAATTTTCCTCTGGTGACGTCAGCTAAGGTGTGTAACTCATAGTATTATTTTAGGCATTGTGTCAGCCGTGCTATATCCGTTTCATTCTTTAGACAGCAACTACACACGTGGGAGGAGGTCTTGTTGTGGCTTTTCACACGACAGTTATTGAAATTCAGTTTAGTTACGGCCTCTTCAATTGTTGACAATCCTTTAGATGGTCAATATCGTATTCCTCTTTTCAGTCTGCAATTCTCACACAGGTTTAAGTAGCACGTTTTAAATACCAGCCATGGTTCAAAACGCTCTTTTGCCCGGCGGCCCTAACCCGCCCACAATTACCTATTCTAGTCGCTCTAGTCGGTTCAGAAGGTTTTCGAGAGAATCAGGAAAACGGCGATTTCGAGGAAGGAAACTCGTGATTTAAATATGTTCAAAGGCTGATAAAATTTCTACTAATTAATTTTTTTTGGGCGACTGGAAATCCCTCAATTTTGAGATTCCTTCACATTCAGAAATAAATCGATGTTATTAGTTGGTTTGCGGTGAAGAAGGACAAAACAACTTAAGAATTACAAGAAAAGGTAAACTTAAGAATTTTCTCGGTCGTTCATTATGCATGATTCTGTTTCTAAGTGTGTGACCCTTCTCGGTATTTCATATAATTTCTAGAACATCATACATATCAGCAAACATCACGCCTGACGATTGATAGAAAAGAAATTGAGAGAGTTAAACGCTTCTTAAGTGATAATTACCTTTTGCGAGCGTAGAAGCAAAGTCTGCAACTACCATCATCGCAGCGTCCAAAGTTTCACAAACCTCGTTGTCCAGCTTTTCTCTCGGTTCTAAACTCGTTTCACACATGTTTCTGCGGTGAACGGAAAAGGCACTGGACACACTGCTTATCATCTTTGCTTTTATAGAGCTCTCGCGCGGGCAAGGCATTCAGTGACGTATTTTGACGTAATGATTCAGCCGGCACCAATTGAACCGGAACAACAACGAGGGGAGCTTCTCCGCATGTAATAAATGTACATGTAGGAAATCGTTAAAAGCCTTGCGAGATAAAACTTCCATATCTCGATTTGAAATCTCAAATCACTTAAACTCGTGAAGAAATCCACGTTTTGTCACAGCGGGCTTTTGTTTAGTTCTGATCGAGGTGTTAAGAAAGGTCTTTTGGCGAGGTGGTTGTTTTTTTTCATCAGACCGCATGAAAACGGAAATTTGACTACTGCACTGCATAAATTTAGTTAATTAAAAAACAGATATGTTGTTGTAAGGGACGGGACTGCTCACACAATGTTTTCTTTTACGCAGTAAACGAACTGAAACGTTTCAAGTGAAAATTAATGATCTAGTTGGTGACCGTGACCACCAAAGCTTACATAAACACTTGAAGGACATTAGTAAATCAGGTTTTAGAACCAAATACTTTTAACGCAGGAAATAAAAGAAGCATTTACATGTTTAAAGACGAACACCACACCTGTTGAAGTAAAAAGATTAAACAAGGAAAAAGTTTTGTCAAGTCGGAAAAAACAAGAATCTTCGTCAGCGTGGACGCCCAGCAATACAGAGATACAAAAGGTTTTGTCTTCTAAACTCAGCAAATGCATACCTGATACAATTAAAAATGTGTCAAATATTTCATCGGCGATAGAGTTCGACATTTCCTAGTGTATATTCTTCAATACTCAAAATGGATGGCCAAAACATGTGCTGCGGCATTAGACGTGAATACAATTTCCTGGAAAGTGAAGTGGATCAAGTCCAAAGGTCTCACGTTGTGGCAACTGGAAAATCTGTTTTTCTAGAAATACATATTTTGAGTTTGTATCCGTGAATACTAATTTTCTTTTCGTTGTAAAGGATCAGAAAGCAAAACAAGCGAAGGCGAAAGATCGAAAGAGCTTGTGCTCTTGAAAGTTTTTGTGTCTGGCACTTACGTAAGTCCCTTCCCTCACCG